ATAATGTAGTTTCGACATAAAAAGTCTGAATGCTTCCAAGCATGAAGCGCACTGATTGCTTGAATATCTCCTTCTCCTTCATTGAGTACAGGAGCAGTCTCAGTCAAGAATCTCACAAGATTTAAGGTGGTCAAGTAAAACAGCATTTTCTACTGCCACCTCTTGAAATTCAAGCCATTGAATTTTTTCGATTTCTCTCCATTATTAACCGGAACAGTATCTATTTGGCCAATTGTTGGAGCCACAGTTTGACTCACAACATGGTTTGGCAATCTAGCCACAGTCTGAACCACAAAAGAGTTTGACCCTTGATTTTCAGTAGGCACAGTTTGGGTTACATCCATGTTGGTTGATTCATTTGCCATTTCTGAAAATCAAACAAAAAAAATTAGTTTCTAAAATTAACAATATAAGAAACCAATTTTTTCTTTTACGAATCTGTTTTAAGTTTCTTGTCAAATTTAATCGGTAGTGTATGGAGTTGAATCGGGTTCTCATATATCGTATTTATGTTTTAGACACTGGATTCACGCTTACCGTATTTGGTAATTGCTTACCGTATATGGCAGTGCAACTCACAGTAGTTGCAACTCACCGTACCGTATTTGTCAGTTTACCGTATATGCTAGTTAGCTCACCGTATATGAGAGTGACGTAATAACGGAATTTTCACACTTTATGATAACTTAAACAACACAGATTTTGGACAAACTATTTGTTTTCATAAAATAATTTAAATAACACAGAACTTGAATTTTCACACACACGATTTCATATCCCGGTTTGTATATACAAAAAATTATCTAATTAAAAAAAATTAAACTACTTGAATAAGAATGGTAAATTATATAATTTCCAGAAACATAAAAGCAATATAACTTTCAGAAAACTAAATAAAATCTGAAAGCATGCTAAAATAAATTTGGAAGGCTTATAATTCTGCAAATAATTAAAGCACAGCAAAGCAATATAACTTTCAGAAAGCTAAATAAAATCCGACATTCGTGTATGCAGGTCGCGCCCGCACACAAGTTCAAGGTCTGAAAGCAATTTCGATCCGTGATTTGCACCCCATTGTGTGTGCACGTGGAGAGAGCTTCTATGTTACACATGATTACACCATTCCAATGTGCAATCCAATATAAAGTGGTTAATACTTTTTTCATTTTCCTATATGGGACTAGACTCATTTTTCCATATAAACCATCTTTCAATGGTCATCTTTGAGCTTCAATTTCTCATTCATCTATTCATCAATTTTGGCAAATATATATATATATATGGTTTCGATACTCTCACGAAGGAGAACAATGATCAACTTTGATTTTTCAAATTGGACCAACGGGTCCCACCAAAAATTTTGCCAAAATAAGTCAATTCACTCATTTTTCTAACAAGACAGCAATCTGACGTGGGTTTCTTGCACCTCAAATATTGAGTAATCAAATTGAAAAAATAAAAAGAAAATTTAATTATCATTTTGTGATAAAATAAAGTTGGTTGATTAACGTGAATCATCTTCCATCACGGGTCAACTGGGTTCTCTTTCCCACAGTTTGTTAAATATTTACACCGCAATTCTCGGTTACAAACGGTCAATGTTAGGTAGACCGTGGAGACTACTTAGTAAGGAGAGAGGAATATTGAGTCAACTCTTTCAACTTTATTCTGTTTATTTTTCTTAAACTTGTCGGAATATATGTATTCTCGAATTCAACTAGTACGTAGAGAAACCTGTGTGACATCTACAGGATGGAAATACTTTTATGAACGCATTTTAATAAAATAAATTAAACATCTCATATTTGACTAATACTCATAAATTATTTAAAGTATGTCAAATTACTTTTCATTCACACATTTTATAAGATTTACAAGTATTATATATCACTCGTTTCTAATATCTATTTAGAATTTAAATTAATTGTAAATGTTGATGTCGATTCTACTCTAACAATCAAGTCAGTTACTATTAATACTGCACAATGTTGATAGAGTTTAAGTTGATTGAGTATATTTAAACTTTGGAATCTTAAAGTGACTATCGCATATTATTGACATTTTTTTTTATCTCAAGTTCAACTCGACCTTTTTAACATGACTTTCCAAACACAAGCTTCTTTTCAAGTTGATTGTTTTCTTTTTGCCTTGTTGGTTTAGCGGATTTTGAAGTGTCACATCAATTCTAAAATCCTACAAATTACATTAGAAAGACGAAACTTTAACGTACATGTATCTTAAAAAGTGTTAAACACCCCATATATCCTTTTCAGATAAAGATTGCACATTATGTGACTATCCTTGTAAATTACTTTTGCCTCAGGTTGAGTTCTCAATGTTAATTTTAATTTAGTAATAAGTATTATAGCATAAGCAAAGAGTGACAAAGATAAGACCAAATTTAGTTTGTTAAACTTAGAGATGGCGACATAATTTCACCATCATTTTAGGTCTAGAGATTAGTGTAAGGAATAGAGAAGCAATAAAAATGAAAAGATCCTATTGAAAATTGCATGATGTTGAACTCATAACTGCTTCCCCTTGCTCTCTAATTGAATATCAAAGATCAATAGGTAAACAAGGGATTCAAAAAAATAAATAAACAATAAAATAAAATAAAAATCACTCTAAATACTTCGAACTAGATAGTAGATATTTTAATGAATTTGAGAAAATAATTTATATACATACATGTCGAATCGTTTGTTCTAAAAGTTTAAACTATTAGAAAAATAACATGCATATTATTTAAATCTTGTTTTTCATACGTCCCTTCATGCGTAGGCAAAGTTCATTTTTTTCTTATGAAAGACTAAAACATGCCTAATTTCATTAAATGATGGAAATTAACCTTGAATCGAAGTTTTTGTTTGCTTTGATACCACATTGAGTTACTTTTTATAAAAGCTTAAGTGGTTAATATATTTCTTAAGTCGTACCTTGAAGAATACATAAATAACATTGTATTTTATACATAATCGTATGTAATTTATTAACTACAATTGTGAAATAGTTAACAATGGGTAAATAAATTTTTAAACTAGTTAAGTAAGTAATTATAATAAATAAATAAATAAGAACTCTAGCTATGATGTTCAAGTTCAAGAAATATTAAAAAGTAAAACTATCATTTTTTTTTAAATCGTACTACACAATACAATAAATACTCTTTTTAAAGATCATTTTTCCATTCAATATCGATCAATACTATTTAATTTACTTAGTAAAAAAGCAATAAGAGCTCCGCGTATTCACATAACTCTTTGACCCAAGTTACAATTTATTCTTAGAAGTTTCTAATATCAACCTTAAAGACTAGACTTGTTCGAGAATTGGATTTGACTCCAACAGAGCCATTTATGGCACAATTTTTGGCAATTGGGTTTGAGAGTATGAAACATAATAATTCAAATAGTGAAGAAAATTTGATAAAAACTAAAAAGCATTAAGAGTTGAAAATGACTAATTTGATATATGTTTCCATGTCCTTGTCTTCAACTAATATTAGAAAGACGTTTTACCAAATGAACTAATATTAATAAGACATTTAGTCCTTAGTGCATTTAGTCCTCACTCACGATTTTTGTTCCAAAGAGAATGAAATTATGAAAGGACATTGAGTTTTTGTAGAAGGAAAGCAGATGAAAGCGAGGTATCAATTTTTAACGGACTAAACTCTTTTGCCAGAAAGAGTTTAAACACTTGGTTGACCTATACTCGCACCGCATGGGACTCACGTGAATAAAACAAATGTCAAACAAATGCTCCTTCACCCTCTATTTGTGAACGTGCTATTAGGAATGGTGTCAAACCCTCCCTGACAGCATAGCATGATCCATTTTTAAACTCTTTATTTCAGTTATAAAAACAATAATCCTTAAATTATCGGGGGGAATGGTGAATTTGTAAGGATAGCGAGTTAACTATCCTGGAAAAGAATTGAGTCCAAAATCTACACATTTTAAATAAATTATGGGCAAATTATAAATATACATGCACCATAATTTTTTGTTCCATATGGACACTAATTAGAAATTATTTTTGATAAATATATGACAACTATTTTACAAATATAGTCCATTAAAAACAAAATAAATAAGACACCACCCTCTCTTTCTCTCTCACACTCCAACATTTTCTCACTACATTTTTATCAAAGCCCAATAATTAAATCCATTTACGCCCTCTAAAAGAGATGTAAATATAAAGAGGAAAGAAAAATTTTGCTAAAATAAAGAAACAAACAAAAAGTTGGAAAAAAAGCCATCAAAAAGTGGAAATAAGGGGCTTGCACATTGGTTATCAGAAGGTGAGGGATTCTTGCTGTAATTAATAGAGAAGAATTGTGAGAAAATCTGAGAAGAAAGTGAAATTGAACATTTAATTTTTCTAATACTATATGTTGTTCACAAAAGAATTAAGTCGTAGAATCAATTAAATTTTTATATATCATTAAAAAATTAATTTTCTCAAAGTTTTATAGACCTGACTTTTTCTTTTTTTTCTGCGCTCCCTCCCTCCCTCCTAATCTGTCGATTACAAACTGTCATTACCATTTACGGTTTATCCACCACTTGAAAGTTTGATTGTAACCCACTAACCAAAAGTGTCTGGGTCCGCCCCTAATTATGATATAGCTATCAATTAAGCAATTTTGATCAATTTGGTCGATGATTAGGTTATAAAAGATTAATGTTATTTATAGTTATTGACTGCAGTAATCATTTTTATGTGATAGCTTCTTATTTGATGTATTAACTTTTTATTTGAAGGAATAGAATTATAAAAGATTAATGCATCAAATAAAATTTAGTTTCTGTTTGGTAGCGATTGATTTTAATTTAAATCAAAATCAATAATTAATATTAATTACATATTTTATGGTATACCGAACTTTTCAATTGAACTTTTCATCAATTTTTATCAAAATATAATAATAATAATTTTATTTCAATCTACAAAATAGGGGCTTAGTCATCCAATTGAAATCTTGCAGAAATTTCAGTGTCGTGAAAGGTATGAACGTTAAAGTTTGGTAGCAGTTTTTGGCGCATCCAATTTTGAAATCTCTGCTCCCATTCCCACTTGATAAAGAGTAACGTCAATCCCCATTCTCTCTCTTCTACCGTCCACTTCCCAATTCCCCAAACCAAGCCATTAAACAACACTCACCTACCAGATTCAAATGGACTTCATTTTACTGTAAATTTGTATATTAGTTATTTCAGTTTCTGATTGTTGTTCTGTGAGTTTAATGGCGGTGGTGTCGAAGAAATTGAAAGAGCAAAGGGAGATTAGCCCAGAGAGAACAAAGGTGTGGAAGGAGCCTCCAAATAGCAAGCACCGGAAAGTTCCAGTTCTTTATTACCTTTCCAGAAATGGGCAGCTCCAACATCCTCATTTCATGGAGGTTCCTCTTTCCTCTAATCAAGGCCTCTATCTCAGAGGTAGGTAGAGCTCTACGTTTTCGTTTAGAATTACTCACCCATTTTGGTACCCGATTGGAATTTTTGATGTTTTTGTCTCTTCAGATGTGATGGATCGCTTGAATTTTCTTCGTGGGATAGGCATGGCTTCTATGTATTCATGGTCTTGTAAACGGTAATTGGTTTGAATCGTAATCTATTTTCGCTCTGTTTTCTGAAATTTTTTTGTGAAATATTGAATCCGGGGATTGTTTGATTCAGGATGTATAAGAATGGATTCGTCTGGCACGATTTATCTGAGAACGATTTAATCTACCCTGCGCATGGTCAAGAGTACGTTCTCAAAGGATCGGAGCTTGTGGACAATACATTATTTGAAACGGATTCTTCTTTAGTTTCGAAGAAGAATCTGCCACCTCCGCCTGCGCCGCCGCCGCTTGAAAGCGCCAAGGACGGCGATGGGGAGGTAGATATTCCGGCAGTGCACAGACGGCGGCGGAACCAGTCTTGCAGCTCGATCGACCTCAACTTACAGGAGTACTGTGTATACAGAGCAGAATCCTCCGGAAGCGCCTCCGCCGATGCGTCCACTCAGACCGACGATAAGCGGCGGCGCCACCACTCCCGGCGACCACTCAAAGAAGTGGAAGCAAAACAGCATCACGAAATCGTAGAAGAGAAGAGCGAGATCGAGATTTCACCACCGTCATCGAATTCAAGCACCGAAACCTTAGGAACGTTAATGAAAGCCGACGGCCGTCTTATCCTACAACCAGAGACAGTCAACGACAGTCAAACGGCCAACAGTCAACGGTCCAAAACTTCATCAATTCTGATGCAATTAATATCTTGCGGATCAGTTTCATTTAACGACTGTGGTCCTGGACAAGGATTGAACTTAATCTCCCTTTACAAACAGAGACTGCCACGTAGCAAAGGATCAGGGAAGTTAACTGCAGGAACTGGAAGAGAAAAACTGGAGGGAAAAGAATATTTCAGTGGCAGCTTAGTAGAGACAAAGAAGGAGGAATTTCTAACTCTGAAAAGATCCTCTTCTTACAATGCAGATAGGTGATTTTTATTTGCACCGTATATTACTCTATTGAGTACCTTTTTTTGTTTTTTCCTTTTTTTTTTTTCTTTTTTTTTTTTTTTTTTTAATTTATTTTTTTAATATT